TCACTCACCTGTGAACTCACTTACACTACCTTAAGCAGGTAATATAATGCTGATATACAGTGTATAATATACTGATATTAATGATCAATCTGTCTATCTTAGAATATAAATAGTTTTGTTTTTGTGTTATCACTGCTGAAAATATTCTTAGCAGGTTTAAGCTGGTCTCCCATTCTGACCAGTTGAAAAGTACTCGGTACTCAAAACCCCTCTAAAACCAGGCTGGGATGTTAGACAAGCTCAGATGTTTTTTCTTCAGTTGTTAATAAGAAATATTGAACACATGCTTGAATGGAGTGGACAAAATGATCATTTTCAGTGCTTGACATCAATTCCATCCCCTCTCTGTAACTCCCACCATGTTCTCTTTTACTCACTCTTAACACTCTGTTTCTTTCTTTCTCTCAGACTGTTGGTCTGCAGTCTGGGATTGTGTTTCATTTCCCCAGTCTGTAATTTTAGCAGGGCAAATTTGCTAAAACTGGCTCTGGTACATTTTTAACATACAGTACACACAAACTTGAATAACACGACACACACATACAAAGATACAATACACGAACACAAGGGAACTGTTTAATTTCATTGGGCAAACAACTACTAAATGCCATTACAAATAATCACTGTGCCTCTGTAGTAGTGTGTATTACAGCAAGAAAAATTCACTCTTGCGTGTGCTTTAATAAATTTCAGATAGATGAGTGGTCTCTGTGCACACATATGGGTGTAAGCAAGAAGCTTATTGCTTTTAAAAAATGACCGTAACATCAGTATGAAGACATCAGTATTCTTCAAAAGAAATAGTTACATTTATTATTAATAATAGTATTTCGATTTGCAACAGATTTTTTCCATATGATATAGTTAATTAATCTGTTCACTGTGCTTTATGTGAATGCCGAACAACATAATTTGGCACATTAGAATTCAACTGATTTGAAGTTCAGTCGTTTGATTTGGTCTCAATTGCAATTTAGAGTCAGTCAATCTATGTTTTATATGCATAGGTGTTAGAAAACCTTTTTTTTTTTTGTATAGTGTTCCTATAGATCAAACAGAATGACATTAGGCATGCTAAGGTCATGGATTTGATTCCCAGGAAGGCATAAACTGATAAAAATTTATACTTTGAATGCACTGGCCGGTTTTGGATAAAAGCATCTGCTAGATGCATGAATGTAAGTGTATATAATGGAACACATTATGCAATATAAATATCAAATCAAACCTCATACCATTAGGGCTTTTGCTTTCAGAAGTGACACAGTGTCTATAAAGCACACCCACACACTGATACCATGCTCAGATCCATTTACACAGGCCAGTCATTTGCCTCCTGAGGGATGATTCCATCATAATACATACACTGAATGAGTTCAGACCTTCTGACCAATCAAAAGACTCAAACGTATTGTGCTGAAATTGGACCAGGTTGATAATCTCTAAGAAGTTTCTGTGAACATTTTCTATGTAGGTAATTACTGACTCAGAACAGATGCTCAGTTTATTTTTTGTCAACTTAATTCCAAAGTTACAGAATTCACAACTAATTAAAGTACTGCTAAACTGAATGATTAAGTGTATTTAATTGGCAATATAAAGTAAAATTTCACAGAATGTTGTGAGGAAAAAAATTACAATATTGGCTGTCTAAACAAAACATGTCAATGAAACATCTGCATCTAATAATGGAAAATAGAAGAGAGTGGAAATACACAATGTCGAGAGACAGAAACCTGTTAAAGGATTTATATTATGAATAATATGCTATGCCTATAACTCTGCAGAAACCTTGACTGCAACCTGCATTGCAGCTGAAAGAGAAGAATCATACTCACACGCACACACCATAACTGATTTACAGGCACTGCGACATGTAGCACATGACTGGGTGCCGTGCACATACGTTAATTCACATACAGATGCGATTTAGCTGGTATGACCAGTGCGGTATCTCAAACAGCACTCTTAATTTGTCCCTCTGGAGAAGATACGTGCACAAGCTGGAAAAACATAAAAATAATCCCAAAAACATGAGGCGAGTGCACAGCAGATAACACAAGAGAGACCCCTCCTGTTCTTATTAACACATACACAACCTGTATGCTTAGTTTAGATACTTTTATATGAACGTTTTTAAAAGTCTTTAATGTTTTTCAGTCTGAGCAGCTCCTACACTCTCGGGAAAAAAGATACAAAGCTGTCACTGGGGTGGTAGCCTAATATGCAAAAGCTAAAAAGTGCATCTTTGTACCTTGTTTACCCCTAAATGATACAAATAATTACCTTAAAGGTACATATTAGTACTTTAAAAGTACATATTAGTGTCTAAAGTATACATAATAGTATTATTTGAAAGGGTACCACCCCAATGACAGTCCTGTAGAGAGTGTAAGCGGGGGTTGAGAGTTATATGAACTCTTCTGATTTGTGCTTTGACAGTATGTGCATGTTTGCAACATTACCAGTATCATTTCAAGTGTAGATGTCAGAATCGTTTATGCTTTCATGTATGTTTTATCCCATTTTTCAGTGTCCTTCATGGTAGCATGACAATTAACCTCTTTGAACTGTATCATTATGTGTGTCCTTTGCTGTGATTTGAATCAATTGCACAGTAATACCATTTGCAACTGTTTTTAATCAACTGAAGTGTTTATCAAAAACACAGATATAAATCTTTACATGCAAAGGCTCCTTTTTTATATTCACCTATACTTCAAATGAAGCAATTAGCCTTACTAGCAAATGTCTATGTGTTTGTTTTTATTTTGAGCCACAGCATGAAAATAACTGTTTACTTAGAATAACCTGCTCATTGCCTAAGTCAAAATATCAATCCAACTAAACATAAGTTGCTCAGAGGTTGTGTTTCTTCGCTCACAAGTTCTCACTGATATGTCATTTAATATTTATCACTGATATTTTCATTTGATATTTATACTGCACAGTTTTGCTTCTCAAGTTAAATGATCTAGTTTTAAGGAGTTTCCAAATTTCTTCTGGACAGCAAGAGACAATACTGATTAAGAAGTCTCCATTTAATGTCATTGCTGTCTAGGAGAAAAAATAAAGGCATTAAAGAGATCTCATTTGTTTTTTCTTTCCTATAGTCACATATTAGGAGGAACAGGCTATTTGATAAGGATATGTTTGTGTATTCCTGTAGCAGACACACTGACACTTTGACTAGTGTAAATAGCTGTGAGTGAAGACAGTCGTACTCCTTCTCATGCCTCGTATGTGGATTTGCATAGATAAATGTTCTGTTATCCTTTCAAATGAAGGTCAGTGCACCATCATTATCTGTCAGCTTGGTTCACTCTCACCCTTATCCTCTCTGTCTTCTTCTCTCAATTACTCATCATCACATGGACACGCTTTCAAACATTCGCTGACATTGTCATTCTCATTCAGGAGCAGTCTGCATGGTAGATAAATGTTCTGTTATCCTTTCAAATGAAGGTCAGTGCACCATCATTATCTGTCAGCTTGGTACACTCTCACCCTTATCCTCTCTGTCTTCTTCTCTCAATTACTCATCATCACATGGACACGCTTTCAAACATTCGCTGACATTGTCATTCTCATTCAGGAGCAGTCTGCATGCAGACACCCTTCAGCAGTTCAATGCAAACACAGCTGTGTTATAAAACAAGGCTAATGCACAGACAACCCTCACCGATCCACTCCCACTGACATGCACATGGCTTGGTGAAATGACTTCCTGCGCAGCGATTCCAAAATTATCCAAGTGCTGCAATAAGCTCAGAATTTTCCAGGAAGTGAAATACAACCCTCAACCGTTTGAACTAATTTGCCTGGTACCAGACATTGTATTCTCTGAGTTTCTTTTACTCATTTCATCAGGTCTCTAGCACAAATCATTACAAGCCTGTTTGGTTTAACCAATGGTGGGAGTTTATAAAATAAAATAAATATAAAGCTTATATACAATTAAAAAGTGTTCAAAATTTGTGTCATTAAGCATGTTGTTATGGATCTCATTTACACAAAACATGCTTCATTTTCAGATGAACATTATTGAAAGTAAGATAACTTGCAGTTCAGAGAGAGTAAGATGCTGATAATCACGGATTCAGTGAGTTCATTCAGTTCAAGGATTCACTAATTCAGACTCCTGAGGTTGTAAGTCAGATTTTAATCATTAAAAGAATTTGTTCAAAAGATTAATTTGTTCATTAATGACACTATTTTATCTGTGTTATATTTATTGTATTTGCTACCATTTTTTGGTAAGTTCAGTCTCATCTCATCATTTAATGCAGCCTTTAAAGTGTGTGGTTTGACAGTGTATGTTCATGTGTGTCTAGAGTACATGAATTTCAGAACAGACCTCTTCATCAGAGGTGGGTTGATGTGATATAGGCTTCATATGGTTTTGATCTGGCTGAAGACTCCCCTGGTATTTCTCCCTGTGTGTGCTTTGACTTGGAAAGACTCCAGAGCAGGAGTTCATATTTAGATCAAGTAATCAGATCTATTTTGATGTTTTTTCTGGCAGTGAACATATTCATCTCTGATCTTCTGTGTGTGCATGCTGCTTTTGCTGGTATGAGATTGGTAGTGTCTCATCTGTGAAGAAACTTTATCACTTTTATTAAAGCTGAAAAGAACTATTTTTATCGTTGATTTTTAAATATCACTGCACTTTGCATTTCTTTCTTTTATGTGTAGGTGTAATTGTTTTTTTGGTCGTTAGACAGAGGTTATATGTTAAAAGTTTGATTTAATGGCTTATCTGCTATTGACTGCTCTTTCCTGTCTGTTCTATATTGATTGCTGTGTGACATATGACATTGATCTGTAGTAAATGGGTACTTTAGATTTAAGGCATTGATAGTGTTTTTTTTAAATATGCATTCTAGCATGTTCCATAGCTTTGATAACCTATATAATAAATCATTATATGTAATGTTTGCTTTTTAGATTGCCTGTGTCAGATATACTTATCAGTCTTCTTTGTACTCTTTCTGCAGGATGGTTCAAAACAGAGGCAGGCAAGGAAGAAGACTGTCTCATTTAGCTCCATGCCAAGTGACCGCAAAATGAACAGCACAGCCGCCTGCATGGCCTTCATGATGGAAGGCTGTGAGATGAAGAAAGTTCGCTCCAATTCTCGAATGTACAGTCGTTACTTCCTGTTGGACCCTGACATGCGCTGGCTCCGCTGGGAACCATCGAAGAAAGACTCAGAGAAGGCAAAGCTTGAGATCAAGAGCATCAAAGAAGTTCGATTGGGAAAGAAAACACCCGTCCTACGCAGCAACGGCCTCTCTGATCAGTTCCCGGATGAGTGTGCGTTCTCAATTATATATGGAGACAACTACGAGTCCCTGGATCTGGTTGCCAGCACGGCAGATGTGGTTAGCACCTGGGTGATGGGACTGCGGTACCTGGTCTCATATGGGCGGCACATGGTGGGCGTAGTCGAACCCAGTCAACCCAGTGTAAGAACGTCCTGGATTGGGTCCATGTTTGAGCTAGCTGATCCAGAAAGGCAAGGACACATTGACCTGTTCCGGGCCACCCAAATCATCAAGGGTCTCAATCCTGGCATGAGGGAGTCTCGTATTGAACTGAAGTTCAAAGAGCTACAGAAGGCCAAGGACTGCTATGGTGAAGGCATTGATTTAGACATATTTGTAGAGGCCTACTGTGAACTGTGCACACGTCCTGAGATCTTTTTCTTGCTAGTGCAGTTCTCCAGCAACAAAGAGTACCTGGACTCCAAGGACTTGATGCTCTTTGTGGACGTGGAGCAGGGAGTCGAGGGAGTCACCGAGGAAATGTGTCGGGAGATTGTGCGCAAATTCGAACCCTCCGTTGAAGGACGTGACAATGGCTACTTGTCCATAGATGGCTTCACACACTACCTCCTGTCATCCGAGTGCCATATTTTTGACCCACAGCACAAACATGTTTGTCAGGATATGGCACAGCCCCTTTCACACTACTACATCAACTCTTCTCACAATGCCTCACTTTTGGAAGATCACTATTGGGGCTCATCAGACCTCAGCAGCTACGTTCGGGCTCTACGCATGGGTTGTCGAAGCCTGGAGGTTGTAGTCTGGGATGGCGTTGACTGTGAGCCCGTGGTCTATGTCCGTAGCTCTGTTGCCTCCCAGCTGGCATTTTGTAAAGTTGTAGATGTCATTAACCAGTATGCCTTTGAGAGTTCAGAGTATCCACTAATCCTCTGTCTTGTCACACACTGCAGTGTTCCCCAGCAGAGGGTCATGGCTCAACACCTGAAGAAGATCCTTGGGGACAAACTGCACATTGAGCCTCCCAATATGGAGGATCACTACTTGCCCTCCCCTGAAAAACTCAAGGGAAAGATACTCATCAAAGGAAAGAGCCTGCCTTCAGACTCGCAAGATTCTGAAGGGGAGGTTACGGAAGAAGAAGAAGGCTTTGAGATGTCCAGGAGAATGATGGGTGGAGACGATAAGGACCAGCTCAATGGGATTGGCTGCAAACGGTTACGACTCTGCAAAGAACTTTCTGACCTAGTCACCCTCTGCAAGTCTGTTCAGTTCCGCGACTTTGAGACATCGAAACGGGAACAGAAGCATTGGGAGATTTGCTCCTTTAATGAAGTTGATGCCAACCGCTTTGCCAATGAGTTTCCTGAGGACTTTGTCTCCTACAATAAGCGATTTCTGTCACGGGTGTACCCTACACCCATGCGCATTGATGCTAGCAACATGAATCCACAGGACTTCTGGAAGTGCGGTTGCCAAATTGTGGCCATGAATTACCAGACTCCAGGTTTGATGATGGATTTGAACCTTGGTTGGTTTAGGCAAAACGGCAACTGCGGCTATGTCCTGCGTCCAGCCATAATGCGTGAGGAGGTGTCGTATTTCAGTGCCAATGCTCGTGACTCACTTCCTGGAGTCTCAGCCCAACTTCTCCACATCAAGGTGATCAGCGGTCAAAACCTACCAAAGCCTCGAGGCTCAGCTGCTAAAGGTGACGTGGTAGAGCCGTACATCTACGTGGAGATCCATGGAATTCCTGCAGACTGCGCAGAACAACGCACAAAAACTGTCTCTCAAAATGGTGACAATCCGATTTTTGATGAAAGCTTTGAGTTCCAGATCAACCTTCCCGAATTGGCTGCTTTGCGTTTTGTTGTCCTTGATGATGACTACATTGGCGATGAATTTATTGGCCAGTACACCATTCCTTTTGAGTGCCTGCTTCCTGGTTACCGGCACGTACCACTGCAGTCACTTACAGGAGAGTTTTTGCCTAACACTACACTGTTCGTTCACGTTGCCATTACAAATCGGCGAGGTGGGGGCAAGGCCCATAAGAGGGGTCTCTCTGTAAGAAAGGGTCGTAAAGCAAGGGAATACACCTCCACTAAGACCACAGGGATCAAAGTGGTAGATGAGCTCTTCAGGGCATCAACCCAGCCACTACGGGAAGCAACAGACCTACGGGAAAACGTGCAGGTATGAATTCGGTCTTTTCAGGGTCAGTGTTTTTCAGATTTTGTTGTTTGAGTCTGTTTGCACTGAATTTTTTGAGAAATTGCACTGAGAGCAACCACTGATATTGAAAGTATTAGTGATATTTGTAGTTCATTAGATGATACTATCAGATGTTCTTTTCTCATTAGAGAGCAAAGTTCCTTCCTCTTCACATTTAAATAAACCAAATAATAAATGTTGTGCCAAAGCACAAAATGTATTTGGTATGAAATGGGAAATTTGCTTGCAATGTCATGAAGGTCTTACAAAGAAAAAAATTATAAATTCCTTTCCTGTTGACTGGCATCAGCTGCCACTTACAGTTTTTACAAGCTGCCTTGGCCCTACAGGGAGTTCATGGGAGGTAAAGGGGTTGTAACAAGGATTATGACAACACAGTATTGAAAACACGCTTAAAATTGCCTTGTAGTCAGGGACAGGTAGAAAGTGAGAGAGAGAGAAAATACAAGATACAAGAAAGAAACCAAGTGGAAGCTTTTGTTGTTGAGCTCATTAGTAATGCCTTTAAAACCAGATCCTCTCTAACGATGTTTTCACATCTTTTAAAAAATGCTTGTGCTTTTACAGATGAGAGAATTCAGTGAGACTGCTGATGTTTTTCAAATGCTAGAATGTTAAATGATTAGTTCACTTCCAGAATAAAAAATTCCTGATAATTTACTCACCCCCATGTCATCCAAAATGTTCATGACTTTCTTTCTTCAGTTGAAAATAAATTATAGTTTTTGAGGAAAACATTCCTGGGGATCAATGGGGATCAAGGAGTTGAAGGTCCAAATTGCAGTTTCAATGCAGCTTTAAAGGGCTCTACACGATCCAAGCCGAGGAATAAGGGTCTTGTCTAGTGAAACGATCTGTCATTTTCTGTTCGTCTTGCACTAGCTCTGCGATGCGCGTCTCTGACTTCACACATTATGAAATCACATTGGAAAGGTCACGTGCAGTTAGCTCTTCGTCTGTGTACTCCGTTTCAAAAAGTTAGGGTAGGGCGAAAAACATCTAATTTTCTCCTCCAACTTCAAAATTGTCCAACATCGTTATTTTACCTTTTTTTGTAAAGGCCGTTTGACTTTCTTTGCACGTTTGCTTTGTAAACACTGGGTCGGTACTTTCGCCTACATCAGGCGTGACCTTTCCAACGTGATTACGTAATGTGTGAAGTCGAGCTAGTGCAAGACGAGCATTTGTGGTAAATTTTTTTTTTTTTTTAGAAAATGGCAGTTCGCTTCGCTAGACAAGACCCTTATTACTCAGCTGGGATCGTGTAGAGCCCTTTGAAGCTGCTCTAAAACGGCAATTTGGACCTTCAACCCATTGGCCACCATTGAAGTCCATTATATGGAGAAAAATCCTGGAATGTTTTTCTCAAAAACCTTCATTTCTTTTTGACTGAAGAAAGAAAGACATGAACATCTTGGATGACATGGGGGTGAATAAATGATCAGGAAATGTTTATTCTGGAAGTGAACTAATCCTTTAATCATACTTTTTCGTTGAATACTGGTGGAGGAGTAAAATTGCAGGGTTATAAAGGCAATGCATCATTCCAGTTCATGTCATGAAATATTGGGTGCAAGCTGCAAATAATATTGATTTCAAAGGACTCTTGCTCAGCAGATAACAATAGAATAGGTAACATCTTGTCCTCTAGCACATGGTCCTAATTTAAGAAGACTAAAACCTCAAAGGACATCCCATTAGATGATTAGAGACAGAAAACATATGGCCAACTCGAGCTGTCCTTCTGCTCTGGATCTCTCCCCTTGTCTTTGAATTTGTGCGCATATGCATTGTGTTATTTCATTTCATTCCTATTCCACAGATCTGTGTTTTGCATACCCTTATTGTCTTATATTGTCCATTTCTCTGGTTTTGCATATGTTCACACAGCTGACCTAGTTTTTTATATCAATGTTTCTAGTCTACTTTATTTAAATGAAATGAAAGCTTACATTTACATTTATGCATTTGCTTATAGTGCATTTAATGTTTACATAATATATGCTACATACTAACATACTCTGCTGTTTGATTTGCAGCTGATGTTGGGTGTGTAGTTGTGTATTTTACATATAGATTGCTGTTGCCATCATCTAATGCTCATTTAAAGTTATCTTTAAAAACACGAATAATTTAACACAATATAACACTGTTAAAAGTAATCTTTAGCAGAATGTGTATAGCGTTGTAATGCTGCTATTAAGAATGTATGTGTTGTGTAACGCTTTATTTCATCCTGCTGTATCTTGGAATAAGATCAGGGAAGATGAGTGCAGAGCACAAAGCGCCAGGTGATGCTGTTCTTGGCAGGATGTTATTCTGCTCTATCATTTGTAAAGTTTCAACATCCAGCTGTCTGCTGCTTCCTCTTTCTCCATGTCTCTCTCACACACTTAAACAGCAAGAATGGTCTTCATGGTCTCCATGGTGTCATAGCAATCCCACAGGAAGCACTCTTAGTGTAGAATGATCTGTCACTGCTGTGAACCGCACTTTGAGACTAATGAAATAACAACTTCAGCACACACACAGACTCACAGTGAATGTGAATATGCAGATGATTAGATAATGGTTCTTTGGTATGGGTACTTTAACATTTTTATTTTTGAAATCACATCTTGAACTATTTTCGTTTCACAAAGCCATTTGTAAATATGGCTTGTGTGTCAGTTTTAAATTTGATCCTATCGGCCTATCACGAGAAAGTGATCTTTCAATGTGGAGAAAAAGCACTAGTCAGGCTTGTATTGCAACCATACTGAATCCTGATTCTAATCTAAATCTGCTCAGCTTTAAATATGCACAAATTAGCGTGCACAGCACACAGAGTTTACTATGCACACTGTCATGAGTCAGCACTTTTGACTAGCATAACATCCTGTCTAAAGTTAACGTGCCTTTTCTAGACTCAGCTTTATAATTGTGTCTAAACCACAGAGCCAGTAAGTGGATGAATTAGACTTGTGCTGCAGTGTTTAATAGGTAAATACGAGTATTTCATGGCCATAGACAGCTTTATTGCTCAACGGCAATAACGCACCCCAGTTTGAAATGCCATGTTCAAAATTACTTTTGTTCCACAAAATAAATTAATGTGTTTGGGACATCATGAGGGAAAATTAAATAATTAATTTACATTTTTGTCCATTTTATCTCACTGGCGTTTAGTAGAAATAACTAAGATATTAAGTAGATCTTCTTTGTGAATTTTTTTTTCTGTTGGCTCACTTATATTCCATATTCATTTTTATTCATGATTTGCATGTTCTCAGTGACTCATACACTCTATTTGTACCCAAATCATTGGTCACGATAGTCTGTTTTTACACTATATTTCTGATCCATTTTCACATTAGAGCTCAGCAAAGAGTTCATTAAACCGAAAATAACAAAAATTAATGATTAATAGAGAAAAAAAGTGCATTAGACAGAGGAGCTCTTCATGTACATGTGTGGGTGGCTGTTTGAGACTGCTGGTAGCTCTCTTATATGAACAAATAGTCCAAGTCTGTTCCTGAACACCTGTATTTAAACACACCATCAATTTTCCTTACAGGCAAGCATAAGTCTCAGTTATAAACATTTGTCAACAGGAATGTACTGTGTGTGTGTGTGTGTGTCAGTGCTTGTCAGCCCAATATTGGCTGTGTAGGATTCCCACTTTGAATTAGGCCTCCATGAGGGTCAAACTAATCTATGATTTGTCAGGTGTCAAGGTATTTGTTAGACTCTGAATCAGGAATATAGTGCCTTGTCTCACAGTAGAAATTTTTGAAGAACTTTCTGACACATCTTTGAAAGCACCTGCTTAGATCAGCATGCATTTCTCTATGTTGGTCCAGGTTGGTTTAAAGTGGTTAGAGCTTTCATGTTCACAATATATGGATTAAAATTTTAAGAAACTAGGGAGTGGAATGAGACACAGCCACACTCAATGCCTAAGCAGTTTAACAAATGTGTGTAAATAATATACTGTATATCGATGTGTGTATGTCCTTACTTGATTCTGAATTGAACTTTAAAACGTATAATTGAACAAGTAGCTACAACAAAAGAGACAAGGAAAGGAAACACATCTCATCTGGCCTGAGGAATGCAGATAAATCTCTTCTGTCAATAGAGCTTATTAGCGAGTGTGCGAATGTGTTTGTGAGTTTGAGCTTTTCTGGGGAGGGCGTTCCTGATTTGGAAGTCTCACTTCCAGACCTGACTTCCTGTTACCTGTTTTTGATTTCCTATAGATGATCCAGACGAGTCGCACACTGATCGAATCAGCCGATGGCGTGTACTCTAAACTTACACAAGCACAGCGAGCAGGTAATGTTGCACAAACACACACATACACGTAACAGCAGTGAGATTAACAGTGCAAGCACATCGCCGGTTGATTATTTAAATACAGTATGTCACAGTTAGGCATTATTAATGACTGTCATGCTTGTTTCTGTTTACTCATGGAGCAACAGGAAATAAACTCTTACACACAGTTTCATGCTCCATTAATAATCAGTGAACTCTATAATAATCTACTCTGTAGCTGATGTGACTGTTTCTACAGAGCACAGTGGAAAACTGTTTTTCTTTGTGTCTTTTTGCATGTTTTGGAAAAACATTTTAGTCATCTGACCTCCTGTGGACAGTATTGCATAGCCTGGGGGCTTTTTACCCACATTTGACATAACACAAATACCAACAGACAGAATTGTCCATTATTTTGAAGTGATGCAAGGGGGCTTGTGCCCTAAAGCTTTTTACTGTGTTCACATAGATAAAGCTAAGATTTGAGCAAGAGAGAGAGAGAAATATATATACTTTAATATAACAATGTTTGTTTAAAAAAACAAAACTTATTATCAATAATTTATCTCATAAATTAATAAAAGTATATGCCACGAGGGTCATGCATTGCAGTGATTTTACAGCGGAAATGGGGTGTTCATTAGTTGCAATAACACTATATTTTAAGAATGCAACATTTTATAAGACACAACAGGGAATAGGATATGATATCACGCTTAAGGGCTTCTGTTTTTTAAATAAATGTGAAATGTGAAAGTGACTTGTGGCCAAGTAGGGTGTCCCATACTTCGAATTTGTGCTCTGTATTCATCCCATCCACGTGCACACACACAGCAGACTACCAAGACTCTGAGAACCTGCCGCGACCTTTGGGTTACAAGTCTGACTCTCTAACCATTAGGCCACAGCTCCCCCATATACACAACCATTCAAAATGTTGATGGTAAGATTTTTTTATATTTTTGAATATGCTCATCAAGGCTGCCTTTATCTGATCAGTAAAAACAGAAATATTCTGAAATATTATTGCAAATTTAAAAGAAATGTTTTCTATTTGAATATATTTTAAAATAAATGAATTTAATCCTTCCTTTTCAAATTTCAAATTCATTTAATTGTATTCCTGTGATGCAAAGCTGAATTTTCAGCATCATTCCTCCAGTCTTCTGTGTCACATGATCCTTCAGAAATCATACTAATATGCTGATTTGCTGCTCAAGACACATTTCTTATTATCATCAGAAATCATGATATATATTTTTTAGTATTCTTCGAATACTATCCACCTTTTTCTTCCTGTAAAAATGGGCGCGGCCATTTGTAAATTCTATGGGTCTGGCTTCCGGTCTCATCCGCGTCCAGCTATTTTTAGCTGTACAGAACGGCTCGTTTTGCTGCTTGATATTAAAAATTGGTGTGTCTTACTATATCATTCGAATGTGTTGTCTTAATTACGAACACACTGGTTTATAATGCAGACAGTTTTACCGTTTACTGCACATTGTTATTCTTCCCGTTATTTCCCTACAGCAGCTAATGAACCGGAGGCTTACTTCCGCGTTAAAGAAAAAGGTGGATAAAGTTAAAAATAACAGCTTTTATTTGAAAGTTTTTGTACAATGTAAATGTCTTTACTGTCTCTTTTGATCAGTTTAATACATCCTTTCAGAATAAGTATTATTTATTCATTATTATTATTATTTTTTAGAAACGTACTGACTCAAAACTTTTGAATGGTCGTGCACATTCAAATTCTGAAAATATAACATTGACTCAAATTTTGTGATCTTTTTCACCAAAATTGAAACGTGAAACTTCTTTACATGAGCTTATGAATGGAAGTCAGTCGAGTGCAATGTCTAGTGTGACTGCGGCCTTAGGCGTAACACGACACAAATTAGTCTGTAATTATTATTGATAAAAATCTTATACTAAGAAATATTGCTGATTGTACTAATTTCAGGCTGTTTGTGGTTGCTAAGCTACATTGTGCATTAATACATAATGTGTGTATTAATACAGGTGTGTGTTTATATTCATTTTCCAGCAGCTTTGAATGGAGCTCATGCAATCAGAATCAAAATTTGGAACAATCAGTTTTATAACGTTTCCTCAGAACCCCTGGTCGGCCTTGTGTCACCATGTTAATGGAGAAATCTGCTTTAGAGAGCAACAGAGCATCAGTAAATAAACAAGGTTGGCGTGCTCTAGCGCCGTCTCCTCGCCCACTCTTTCTCATCTCGTATTCTTCCACCTCCCTTCATCTATCTTGCGCCGCTGGAGAGGTTGAATCATGCCTTTGCTAATGACCTTCTCTGCTCTTACTGGTTTTGACTCAAAAATAAAGCCGTTTCTCCAGCACTCGCAGTCTCTCACATTCTGCCGCGCGGATCTGGACTGGTCCGGGTGAGTGTCACAGCTGCCGATCTGAAGCTTAATTAGCAGCGTGAGGGGAGGGTGAGCAGCTGTTTGAGAGAGACGGAGAGCTGTGGAAGGCGCTGATAGCCATGTCCAGCACCTCTCCATTCTAATAAACACTTCGGTCAGACTCTGCTAATTAAATGTGAGTTAAGTAATTATGATGGAGAGGATTGAGGGATTGAGGGAAGGACAAGAATAACTGTCTGTTCATGCTCACGTGTTCAGTTGATTATTGTGTCCCATGGTTGCATAAGGGCAGAAATATACTCTTCATTTCCCTGGATGCTTACATGCATTTCAATTTCAGTCAGACTAAAAGAATAATGTGCCTTTTTTAAATGTCATTAAATAGTTTAAAGCCAAAATTGTTTATTGTAAAAACTGTATTGATGTTACCATGATCTGCTTAGGCCTAACGTAACATAACGTAAACTGAATAGAATAATTGACCATTTTTGTGAACAGCATAAGTGTGATTTGACACATTAAACAAACATTCATTCAAAATTTGAATTAGCATAACCAGGGGTTTTCCCACTAAATTATTGTATTTTGGCGGAAAATATTATATATTGCCTTTTTATATCTCAACCAGTGTTTTTTGTATTATTTATATACGATAATAATATGTATTTAAATTTTGAATTAGATTACTTTTTTATATTTCAGTTTCGATTTTAATTTTTAATTTTTATTTTTTAATAATTTTCTTATGTGCTTTTGTATTTTTTTGTTTAAAAAATATTTCATTTCAATTCTAGTTTTAGTAATTTTACTACTTTAACCTAACCTTTTTTTTTTTTTTTTTTTTTTTAGTTGCCAAAGCAACATTTCCAATTTTCATTTACTTTTACATTTTTCATCCAATATTTATATTTCATTTCAGCTTTATTTCAATTAGTAGTTTTAATAGTTCAGGTTTTAGTTAAAGGGGCATGAACTGCATTTTTTAAATTATTATTTTATAACATTTCCTGAGGTGCACTTATAATCTTTTTTTTTTTTTAATCTAAAATTGTCATAATTTATATATAAATTCCCCTCTGCTTAGAGACTTCAATGTAAATGGCCACTGCTATGGTTGGCTAACATCTTTGCATATGAAATGAATAAATGTTTACAGCATTTTTACTATAACAGCCACCAAGATGAACTAATTGTGAAAACTAATTGTTTTGGTTATAGCACTATATTTAGAACTACTCCCGTTGCATCAAATGTTAGCGTTACACTGTAGCTGAACACGATTTCTGCAGTCTCACGAATACTTTCATCATAACTAACACAGTGAAAACACAATGTACATTAGAGACACATTGAACAGAGTAAACTGTCATTGTACCACACACCTTCTTGATTATATATGACAATGACACATGTTAAGGGGCGTGTCGAGGGGCGAATCACAGAGAATCATGACTTCGCAGATCTCCAGATGTCAAATCCTGGCTTCAGAAGGGTAGGAAATAACTTATATTTTAAACTGGGGAGTTCGTTTTTGAGTTTTCAAATTTGCACTTTAACAAAAAATACAATTATCCCAACAATGCAGAATTATATTTTCTCTTGTATTTGCATTTACTATAGCTTTACATGTTCTCATCAGAACAGATCTGTGACCTATTTGTGGTTTGCAACATGTCAGGTGGATGGATGGACTGTCACACTTGCATGTTTAAATGCATTCAAACGCATTTACTCACACATGCATGTGTATAAATATAACTGTATGCGTTCAGCTTATATTCATAAGAATCTACTTGACATGCTGATATTCAAGGACTCAAATCATCTACGCATTTAAACGCCTATTCAATACTGCCTGTAACTAACACAGTCTTTCTTTAATTCATCGCAATCACTCAGTCCTGCATTTTATTCTGTTACTTTAATCCTGTCCTTCAATTCTTCCCTTAATCCTTTTCTTCATCTAGCTCTTCTTCTCTTGCCTTCATCATGACACCTTCGACTCAAAGATCCCATCCCACATGCAAACATGTCACATCCGATCATCCAATCAGGAGGCGGCATACATCACCATTGCCATAGCAACCACATTAAACGTAACAGGGCAACTTTGTCTGTCATTAAACACTCTCATCTGTATCAAACTTCAAAGGCTCGCAGACACAAACACATGCAGCCATCCTCTAACATGCTGACAGCTCGGAAAGGAACATTGTGTGGAAATGATGGTTGTCTTTTCACAAGCCCTTTCCTCGCACTGTGCCCTTGAAAACGTGGAGCTCCAGGTGAGCTCATTTAGATAACAATGTGGTCAGAATACTGACATGGTAAGCAAATAAACTTGAGCGTGCATGGCTGTACTCGTTTACAGCTGTGCACTAGTGGCCTCGAGGCCCATGTAAAATCATATGAATGCTGAGCAACTACAGCCGATTTTACATAAAAAAAAGAGTATTTATGACTTGCTAACCTTGCAGTAGCAATGTATCTTGGCATAAAAATCAGCTTTGGCAGTGGAGACAAGAGGAGCTGTTCTTGGACCGAATCCTAGCTGAGCGAAGTGGACGATGGGCAGGTGTTAGGGAGCGTTTTGACACCTTCAGGCTTAGTGCCTAGAGAGGGTGTGTCTGAACTTGCACAAATACACACTCAGACGTTTCTCTTACACATGTGCACTAGTCGCACCAGCTGAGAGCCCACATCATAGCTAGCGTTTCATTCAGGATGTCACAAATGTGTTCTGCAGGTTTGTGGGTTTTTATCCATGAGAGTGTGTGTTAAAACCAGAGTAAAAGTAAAACAGGCAGCAAATTCAAGAAACAGGAAGTGTGAAACATGTGCGTGATTGGAGCACTACTTTGCTGTTGCTTCCTTTAACCTTTGAATGTCATATTAAAGCAATAAGCCTTAATTAAAGCAATAATTCACTGTAAACCACGGCTTCACGGGGCTTATTGGTTTTATAAAACAGTTATTCCATATACGTATTAAGGCTTCCCAAAATAAAACTGAGAAAATAACGTGTAATGATATTCTTCCGCCAAACAATGTAGTTCCTCAGAAATGGTCGTGGTTCCAACAAAGTGGTTGCCGAACAACACACAAATGTAAACAAAGGTGTGTGTTTGTAGGGTAATTTACAACAGCTTCGGACTTGGTTCAACCAATCAGAATCAAGGACCGGAACTATCCGTTTTATAATTATGGATAACCGTTTCAACCTCACAGAAAAAAAAAATAGATAATTGATCATTAAAATTTTGAGATATGAAGTCACAAATGGCAAGATCTGGAATTACATTGAAAAATATAGTTGCAGTTAACTGATTATTTTAATTGGTTTATTATTATTTATTTGTTTGTTTTGGCATTATTCAGCCTTTATTATGATAGGACAGTAGCTAGATAGGAAGCAAAGTTGGATAGAGAGCGGTAATGACTGGATTTCACCTCCAAAAATCCTTAAGACGGCCTTCCATTTCTATTACCTGTCTTTCACTTTTAAAGGGTAAACATTGCTTTTCTCTCTTTAACCTGAAAGATATTTGTGACAGAAATCCCCAACGGAAAGTACCTGGTGCTGCCACAACACTTTTTCATAAGGGATTAATAGCTATTGGTGCAAAATGTACTTTTGTTTACTAGGTAGAAAAGTCTTTTTGATAGAGTGTAGTCAGATATCAACTGTTCTCCGTGAGAAAAAAAACATTTGTGCCACCAATTTTTGTCAACATAAACAGCACTTACTTATCTGCCATCAGATTGGCTCACGGACACTGAGATGCTGTTAACAAACATTTCTGAATCGTACAGTTGGCCTTTCATCGGCTCTATTATTTGAAGCAGATTCTTTTTATTTTCTCATGTTTTCATTTTAATGCATCCATTTGTCGCAGTGCTCTGTTTGTTTTTTCCTATCTCTGTGACTGTCTCTGCTGTGAATGATATATGAAGTGAGTCACGACTGCGATTCGGTTGCCCTGTGGCAGCGTGTCAGAAAAAACAGCTTCTAACAATAATAATGCGCCCATATTACTCTGTGATATCTTTGCCCATATGTTTACAAAACATATTCTTGAGGTCCACTGTATGCTGTCTAGGAACCATAACAGATGTTGCTTTATTGGACTTTCAGGATTGGACTTTCATGAGGATCTGCATCGGATCGGGGCAAGAGAGGGACTGAAAGGGAGGAAGTTACAGAAGGCCATGGAGAGTTACGCTTGGAACATCACTGTGCTGAAGGTTTGTAGTTTTTCTTTATATTCTATTATGTTATTTCCTCTTTACCTTATTTTGCACAACAGTTCAGTATAGGGGATAATCTTTACAGGGTTGCTTGCTAATAGGTATGCATTCAGTGCAGTTACTCCAAGTGTTTCCTGGCTTGCAGCTAAACCACATCCAATCAGATTTCACGCTAGTCTAGGCCACAATTAAATAGCTTTTATCCTGATATCGTTGTGTACCTTACAGTGGCTGAAGTTAAAACTACGTGATCCTTAAACTTGCACTCTGAAGCCGTGGAATTACAGAACAGCGTAATTTATAAAATTATATGTGTGCATTATTATAAAAAGTCTGTAGTGTAATCATATCAATAGTTACTATTATTGTTAATACAAATGTATCACCCAACATAGTATTGGCGTTAGTATAGGATCTCCATATTGTCTCTGCTTTTTTATTGATCTGGGCCCGGTTGCATTAAAGTCCTTAAGTAATTTGACTTAGGGATATTCCTTAGGGGGGGAAAAAAAATCTTTGGTTCTTTTAATTGTGAAAAACCTATTCACTATCTCAACAAATTAGAATACTTCATAAGACCAATAAAAAAACATTTTTAGTGAATTGTTGGCCTTCTGGAAAGTATGTTCATTTACTGTACATGTACTCAATACTTGGTAGGGGGAACCAAAGACTTAAACTACTTCAGTCTGTGTGCATTGAATTTATTTAATACACGAGTTTCACAATTTGAGTTGAATTACTGAAATAAATGAACTTTTCCACGACATTCTAATTTATTGAGATGCACCTGTAGTCGTTACCGAGGAAACCACTTTTTTTCTAAAGTGAAAGCGCCTCCTGCTGACCAATGAAGGAAAATTTACCAAATGTGAAAATTAACCCATGTTTTGATGCTGCAAACACTCAGAGTTGTAAATGTGAACAGGTGGATCGACAAGAAGATAATGCATTATAAAAATCTAAACAATTAAGACATACATTACATTTGTATTAATATTGAATTCATGTAAAGATTAATAATAATTGTTTAAATTAATATAATAATTGATTCAACATCCATTTTCTTAAAAAAATTATATAAAACTTTGTTTTGTAAAAACCTGTAAGTCATGCTTTTTACAGTCATTTTACAGTTTAATATGTTACCATAGTCAATGCCCTACTACACTCATATATTTTATTTGTGCAGGTCTTAAAAATGTCTTAAGTCTTACATTTGAGCTTAAAAATCCTGCTGATACTGAGTTTAAGATGACTTAAGGGAGCTGTTTTGGTCCCTTAAATTTATCAAGGTGAAATAGTTACTAAGGACTTTGTAGCAATGCTTAAGGGAACACTTACATAATTAAGGGGAATACTTAATGACAGCCATAAGTTGACCCTTAGGATTTTTCTTGCAACCCAAGTTTCACTAAGGGTTCCCTTAACCTTATAACTAAGGGATTTCTTAGCTTTATGACTTTCATGCAACCGGGCCCTGATTGGTACTAGGATTGTCTGCTATGCAGCTTCTTGTAGCTTTCAGGTATTAATAAATTTTATTGATGTATTTATTTATTTATTGTTATGGACTTCTAAGAAGCGCAACTGTTTTAACATTGATAATAATATGAAATGTTTCTTCAGATCATTATATTAGAATGATTTCTGAAGGATCATATGACACTAAAGACTAGTGCTGGGTGGTATGACCAAAAATGTATATCACAGTATTTTTCAAAATGATACTGGTTTCACGGTACATGACGGTATTTTTTTATTCATGCATGACCGGGTGTTAACCATATTTTCTACTGATTGAGAGAGGAAATACTGCAGTATATTGACTTAGAATGCCCTATTTTACTGTCATGATGAGTGAATATTGTCAAAAAATACCACACTAAATAGTGACTAAACACGACCCCTTTTAATACATGCTAACCAGAAGTCACTCTCATTTATAATCATGGCATCGTCTAATAAAATCAACATGCATCTACACTAAAGAGTGGCTATGCGGTTGTTTTAGCTATATTAGTTTTTTGTCTGCTGCAGAGCACTGCCTGCGTCTGAGTGACTAAAAAAAACAACAGACAAAAAAGTGCATGTGATATTAACAGACGAACTACGCTACTAAAGACTGGAGTAATTGATTTAAGTAAACGTTAAATTATGGTAATTTATATTGCCATATACTGTGCATCTCTAAACAGATATAGCACATGGAAGAAAGACAATTAACCTGCAATGATGCTCAAGGGTCTTTCCAGTCTTACCCATTATCCCACCAACACTGTGAAAAGTCAAATTTGTGCAGATTGCTAACAACATTGTCAGACATCTTGATCTGTAGTCCTGGCAACATGGTAAAACAAAAGAGCTATCCATAAAGTGAACATATCTACTTTCCCCCCTTCTTTCCAGATCTCGCTCTTTATCTCTCTGGAGATGTGTTTATATATTTATGGCGTTCATGATAAGATAAGCTTCATTAAAGTGCCATGTTTTCTAACAAATTATTGTGTCCATACTTATGTAAACAGATAAACCGCACACAATAGGAACAAAGATAAAGAGATGTCATCTTTAATGTGCGATAGTGTTAATGAACGTGTCAAATTGCGGAACAACCGTATGGATGTGTGTTTGGTCTAGTTGTAGATTTAATTGTCATTGGCTGTCATTGGCAATTCACTCTTGTTGAGCTATCTAAGTTTTAGAATATTTTTGTAGTATATTTAATGGATGTTTATGTATTTAAAATAGAGAGGTTTTTTTTAAATAGGTTTGTGTGCATTTGCAGAGCAGGTATGCAGCACAGGTGGGGTGGATTGTTGTCTTAAGTCTTTCATTGAATTAGATGACTTTAGACTAAAGCACTAAAGAGGCCTAAAAGGGATTGAACTGTTTGTATTTCACACAAAACGTACTGTTCATGTGTCTTTGTGTGCATGGGGTGATTTATTTATTTCTGTTGAAATACATGAATTTCGCACAAATAGATAAGGGTTTTTCAAATGTATTGATTATCTACACCCAAAGATAATTAGGCGTGGAAATCTTTAGGCACTACACGATCCAGTCTGATTTTGATTCTGGAAATGATGATCCGATTCTAAAGCGTTTCTTGATTTACATTTTTTCTTATTAATGAATGAGTTTACCAACTTTGAATATAAAATGTATGTTGAATTTGATTAAATTACTAATATAAGTATAATTACATATTAATAATAAATCCAAACAAGTGTACGTTAAGAATGATTAACTAAATAGCTTCAAAACAATACAATTATAATATAATCTTTGTGAGGGACACATCCTAAAATTTAAAGACAGCATTATTTTTTCATGAATAGAAACCTGTTAATACTGTGTGAAAATCATATTGTATGATATTTAAAATGTGATGTTAAAAAATTACATTGTCACTGTATTAAAGCTAACAGCAATTAAAAAAATATTATCTTGAAAATCTGAATTATTAATAATTGTGTAACTTTAACAGCATATGCTCTTTTCTACTCTTTAAATGTTATATGTATAATATTATATGTATTTATAAATGTATTTATAAAGCCCTTTTCACAGTGTTTTTCCAAAGCAGTGTTTTAAAAATTATTGCATTATATAAATGTTATATATATTTAATATATATAATTTATTTATTAAGTACATTTGTAATATATTTAATAAATAAAGTTAACATATGTATGCCTATATTTTTAAATTTGGTTTTCTCTCAGATATTGCACAAACCCCTAAAACTAATTCATTTGAAATATTGTGTGCTTCATTATGCTGATAAACCACTTCATTTCACGCTTAATTTTATCCTGTGACACTTTGGGATGATGTGCTCAGTCACCTTGTGTTAGACTGAACCCTGCAGGCTGGATGCTTTCATTGCATTTAAGTAGCATTTATGATTTATTCTCAGTGTTTGCATCTAGCATCTAGCAATGAGAAAGAACATTTTTATGCAGTATGGAGACGTTTTAATTTTAATCATGCAATTTTGATACATTATTGATATATTATTATAAAAAAAAAATTATATAAAACATTAAAATAAATAAACGTATATTTACAAATTACAAATATTTATTTCTTTATATTTCATTTTTTTCTATGCTTTTCTTAAGATTCAAGAAATGTCAAGATCACAGTTATAATTTCTAATTTTTTTTAAATTTTGTATCAATTTATTAATTTATTATCTAAAAAAAAAAAAAAGAATGCATGGTTTCCATATGTTTGACAATATTCGATTTGGAATGAATTATTGCAATTTGCACAATTTTAGCACCTCCTGCTTGCACATTTTTGTTGTGAAACCTCAGAAGTTCACAACTTTGACTGTGTTTACTGTCAAGACGTAAACTTCTCTTTTTTTCCCCCTGTGTCTCTTAGGGTCAGGCAGACTTGTTGAAGCATGCAAAAGGAGAAGCGGCAGACACTTTGCGACAGATTCACTGTGCTGCTCACTCGTGCGGCTTGGCCAAGAACGGAGCCTCCACATCCCCTGCCTCACCTCTTCTGCCACCCCACGCAAGGCTCCTGCACACCATCCACGAGACTGAGCCGGACAACACCACCCTGCACTGAGAGAGACGAAGAGAACAATTATCATCCTTTTTTTTTTTTAGTTGATCCATATTGTGAGGAAAGGTGGTCTTCGCCACTTTAGACCAGGGAAAGGGAGCCGTAAAGGAAAGAGTCAGGTGGGTTGAATCAGTAAAGGACAAACAGGAGACAGTTTAACTTTGATCAGTGTGCTTTACTCTCTTCCCAGCTCCGCCATGCCTGCTGGGCTCAGGTCTTACATTGGTATCCCCGGCGTGGAGTCGTGTTTTAAAGGATTATAGTGACCTGCTCTCCTGTGAACACAGCTGCTGTTGCAAATTAGCTGTGATCACTTACTCTAACCACGACTCCAGTCAAAAGCCCCAAATCTCAATCATATTCAGTCATTTAAAGTGATAAATTAAAATTCTGTCATTTACTCACCCCAAAGTCATTCCAAACCTGTATGACTTTCTTCCGTTGAACACAAAAGAAGGTATTTTGAAATATTAATATTCTCGTGGTTTTTGTCCATGCAATGAAAGTCAATGGGGTCCAGTGCTGTTTTGAACATACAGTTTCATTGTATGGACAAAAGTGGTTAAAACATTCTTCAAACTATCTTATTTTGAGAAAACGTATGTTCGTAAATCTGCAGTAAAGTCTAAAATGGGTCAAAACTGCATGGAGGGGTTTGAACTTAAATATCGCCAGACTCCAGATGGGACCAAATTTTTCGAAAAGTACAAAACTACTTGCTGATAGAGATGTAAAGCATTTTGAGCAAACAAAGAGAGCTTCAGCAAACAGAACAAGACAGCAAATACAATGCAAACCACTTACAGAGGCAAAGGCCTCCTCATTTTACACCAACTTAGAACTAAAGAATCTCTCACGCCCCCTGCTGGCTCCTCCACACATTTGTATGAAATTTAGAACTGACTAATATAAAAACTGTCAGCTTAATACACCTTGGTCCTAAAAGGGCCTTTCTCCAGGGGTCATGTGTGTGTGTGTGTGTGTGTGTGTGTGTGTGTGTATATATATGTATGTGTGATGCATATGCGGTGTATTTTGAATAAGGAAAAGTGTGTAAATTGTTTCTAAACTGGAAATAGGCTCTACTGGGAAGATTAGAAACTCTGGGAAAATACAGATCTCAGTCGTTGAGAAAAGCACCACTGAGGATCAGACAAGCAAATAAATATTTCAATAAATGAAGAATTAATAATTTTAAGACAAAGTAAAGGACACTTGACCATCTCATTAAGAAACACATCACACCCAATAATACACCCTGTTCATGAATATTGTTATTACTGCTGTTAATATTGTGGGGAGGTGTTAATTAAAATGGAGGTTATTTTATATTTATGTAAACGGGTGTCATTCTGTACCAGTTTTCTTCAGTGGAAACTTCACAGGAACAGAAAATGTGAACGGTTGGGAGACAAAGGTGGGAAATAGCGTTTGGGTCAAAGAATTTGGGTGTTTACTGTCACATTAATGTCAAATAACATCTGAGTGAGATTATGTCCATCATTTATAAAGCCCACATGGTGTTATATAAAAGCTGAATGACATCAGAAACGTCTCCAGGTCATTTTTTTTTATACTTATGTTGTATTACATTTTCAAAAAATCAGAGGACATAAGCTACTGTTCAAAAATTTGGTCGATAAAATTTTGTATTGCTTTTGAAATAAGTCTTATGCTCAACAAGGCTGCATTTATTTGATCAAAAATACAGAAAGAACAGTAATATTGTGAAATATTATTACAACATTAAAAAAGTCTTCTATTTTAATAATTTTTTTAATGTATTTTATTCCTGTGATGGCAAACGCTGAATTTTCAGCATCATTACTCCAGTTTTCAGTGTCACATGATCCTTGAGAAATCATTCTAATATGCTGATTTGCAGCTCAAGAAACATTTCTTATTATTATCAATGTTAAAGACAATGTTATTTGAAATAGAAATCTTATGTAACATTATTTGATCACTTTTGGTCAATTTAATGCATCATTGCTGAATAAAAACTTTTCAAAGGTAGAGTAAATGACAAAAGATCATACAAGTTTTAAATGAATTGTGCATTCATGAAATACATTGTCAGTGTGTGTCCTCTGGGAATCGAACACAAGACTTTGGCATTGTTATATTAAGCTACAGGAACACAACTAATGTATCCAAAGACACATGGCATTGTTACAGACCATTACAAACATTCATATACAGCCATTTACAACTAAGATGATATGTGTTGCATCATTTTTGAATTCCTTCATGTTTTACATTTCTCTGTACGTTTCATCATAATTAGCCATCTCTAGAATTCTTTGTAGTGTCCTATGACTTGCTCACATCCCAAAACCTCCATTTACATGTAATGTGAATGCCATTACTCATGCAATCCATCACACATCACATAAATATACTGATCTTTCTCTGTGGCGAGTTGGGATGCTCCATCTACCTGTGTATCTGGTCATTACCTCTGACTGCTCTCTGACCTTCCGCTTCACACAAAGGCATCCTGTCATTCTTATTCTCCTGCTGCTTTATCTGTTAGTGACGCCGTGGCGCTGTTGCTCTTTTGTTCCATTCAGCCTTTTGTCACTATATCAGGACCTTCTACATTTGCAGCTAATTAAGTCCAGGCCTCATCACACACTCATTCTGTTGGCATTCGCTAACGAAGCTTGTCTGCCCCTCCACAATAGTCCTAAAGAGCTCTCTGTACAATTACTTGGATACAGGCACACGCTAATGACAAAGATGCTAACAATCCCAACAGTTCTTCATTGTATCATAATCCAGCGTCAAATGAGGAACATGACATTGAAGAAATAAAGGGGGTAATATCAGCTGGATTTCTTTGTCAGTCTAATTTATGCCTATAATTAACCTCGGAGGATGAAGGGGTGGGTGGCACATCTGTATAAAAAACACTAGTCCCGTATCAGAGAGTGAAAGGACCATCTTTGAAGTCCATCAGATACATGACATTTGTCTACAACAAGACCAGGGCAGCAGCCAGACTCATGGACTGCACAGCCAAGGTAAGACCAGTCAGAGACTGTTCAGAAATTATTTGATCGATTTAAACTGAAAGCTAACATTTTAATGGTTCCATCTGGGGATAATACAGTTTCATTTGCAATGACATTCATGCTGGTCATGAAGCTTCATTGGAACCAAAAAATTATACAAGCTGCAGCTGCTAAGCTGAACTAATAAAGAGTAACGCAATCAGTAAACTTTCCAAAAGAAGATTCTTCAATAGAAGATTTAAAACATTTAACTCAAAAACAGACTTTTTTCTTTTTCTCCAAAATTAATTAAATCTCTAAAATTAATCAACAAGGCTAGTGTTATTATTGGCAGCTGTCCACTCATAGTAATTAGAACTCAGAATTCTTGGAATAAACAATTTTTATGTGAGATATACTATAATTTAACTATTTAATTATCTTGAAAGTTTTCTATTTGTACCTGCCAGGTAATGGAAAATAACATTTTTAAAAGAAAATATATATATTTCAATTCAAACAAATAAAGGGACACTAACAAACAAATCGAGTTTCATTATTTAAAATAAGCCCATTTTAGTGTGGTGAAGATTCTATTTTCATAAATCACTTTCGATCATAAAAACAATCAGATAAAACACAAGCAATCAAAATCAGATGAATAGTTTAATAAGAACTTTTTTTTTTTAGTGTGGTGGAGGATTTCTGTGTGGATTTCTACACTGAAAAAAAAGGTTAAGAAATATAGATGTGAATCATTACCCTACATTTTTTTTAATTGGATGAATGAAATAGTTTTTTCAGTGTATATGGGATAAAAAGTGATAAAAACTCCGTATTGCGCTGCTATTATCCAAAAGTCGGAACTGTTTAATTAATATTCACCCTTGATTGAACGCATCCTCTCTTTCCATCAGAGAGTTCGGCTGCTCCTCTTCATGGCTCTGCTGGCGCACCTGGCTCGAGACGCAGAGGGCGTGGCCACCTGCTGCTCGAGCGCGTCAAGGTCCTGCAAATTATACGAGATTCTGTGCCGAGCGGGACGCCGAAACGACACTTCCGTCGCCAGGCATATCGGCCGCTTTAATAACGACGCTGCTGTCGGGATTCTAACACTTGGCAAACGTAAAGTGGGCGAGAGACGCGTCCAAGACCGCCTGCAACAACTCCTGCACGGCTCACGCAATCAAGCGGCGGGAATCCTGACTATGGGAAAGAGATTGGAGGACGGAGGGCACCTGCCGCTCGTGTTCGCGGGAGGGACGGTGAGCTCGCCCTTGAGACTCGGACTGGAGCGTCCGCTGAAATATCTGGTGCCCAGGGAACCTGAAGATCTGGACGCTTATGAAAAACGATGACACTTGCCGCTTTAAAAAAAAACACACACAGAAGAGCTGTTCATTGGAGACGTCAATTTGTAGGCTGACACAGAAGACTAATTCTTAATGGGGTTTTAAAATAACGTTTTTGATTCGAGTAAAAAAAAGGTTTGTGATTAACAATAAGTTAGGCTACCCAAAGAGATATACGTCCCCCCCTAACGTAAGTCACATACAGTCAAATGTAATTTAATGTTAATTTTATGTCTCTATAACGTAAGTTGTACGTAGGCCTAAGTAAATGTTCGTTTAAAAAAAAAAGCATTAAAAGTTCTGAGGGAATCACAAGGTGCAATATATCCTTTCATTTCCCTAGTGAACAGCTATAGGCCTATCACCTGTCTCTGCCCTGATTAATGAAACACGCAACTAAATTCAATAGATGTTCATGATGAGCATTTTATTATAGTCATCATATGTTTTATAAAGATGGGTTGTTATATTTTAGTCATGTGTAGTATGTTTTTTGGTCAGCAGGTGGCAGACGATGTAAATATTGTAAAATAACAATGACTTCACAATAAAGTTCAAGAAAAACATTTTTGGTTTGAGAAATGTATGAAAACTCACAAAACCTAAATAAAACAACTAAATTGCTTGAGGCTAAAACTACACAACTAAAGCTTGAGAAACAAACAAAAATTACAGTTGCACTCATTCTAACATGAAATGAAATGTTATCTTGGGAAGAAAATGCTCTTCCACAACATATCACAAATTATGAAATAGAAGGCCTATGTGATTTTTTTTTTAATGACTTTTTCTGATAATTTGATCCAATATAATGATCATGAACGCAGTCATACACAATGAATCATACACAAACGCGTGTGAAAACTTGCCCCAGTATCATTGTGACAGCTTGTCTTAACAACCTGACACGTTTTAGGAGATAATTTGTGTTTTTCAAAGACCCATGCTTTAATCCCTTGACTCCCACTGCCTGTGAAAACAATTTTCAGATTGTTCCTGCAGCCTTGCCAGTAAGTATTGACCCAGAGCTGTATCCTTTCAGATTTCACCCTTATAGAAATTCCTGTGTGTGTTGTGGGAGACGCTGCTTTTGTCTGGTAATATATGTAAATATCTGCTCAGCACAGATGGCTGTTCTGCTTTCCCTTTTCACACCATCTCTCTTTCTCTCCACCTAACTCTTGTGTTTCTGGTAATGTCAATGTCCCTTTAAACCCACTTCAGCCCTTAAAGTCTCTCTATTTGTGGTTTTAAGACTCAGTACTGCTCCCATTACAGCCTCTATAACTGTCACTCAGTCACTAGAGATCTGCTTGTGCTATATTAATTTGGTTAAATGTGAAAGATTTTTCTGCAGGCTTTCAGGTAGATTGTCTTCTCACAAACAAATATATATTTGCATCCACTCAGCAGCAATCAGTGCTTCACTGTTAAGGTAATTATTATTCATTGTAGTTTAATAATTATACAGTATGTAATAATTATATGTAGACAGACAGATAGATAGATATTCCAAATAAAAAAGATGAATATTAATAGTAAAAAAACTTGAGCTCTTTTATTTATATATATATATATATATATATATATATATACTGTATATATAGTCCAAACACCAAACATTCACATATATAAAAAATAATACATAGATAGATATTCCTCATAAAAATATGAATGATAACAGTAAAAAAACTATAAATATATACATATAATAAATAATATAATAAGTATAAAAATTACTTGTTTTGGTGCAACCTAATGTATTCAGTTTTATTCTGTCATATTAAATTATATTTATGAATTAAGTTAATTAGTACTTTTTTTAAGGTTCTTCGAGAATTTATGTTCACTGTGATCTACGTGTGCCATTTTTTGCCATTGTTACTCTTTGTGCTTCTTCCTTTTGAAAGAGAGTGGGAGAGAGAAAGGGAACGAGAGAGAAAGAGGGAGGGACAGAAGAGTAGAGAGATAGCAGTGAGTGGAAGAGAGCTGCAGTAGAGATTGTGCACCTGCCTCAGAGAGAACACAACAGATGAAAAAGAAGAGAAGGATGCAAAGAATCATCTGACCTTGTATTCGGACAACCTAAAAAACAACAAAGAACTGGAATTCAAAGAAAAAAAGAGAAGTGTGGACAAGTTGTGTGAAGACTGAGAGGAGGCATTGAGGAGACAGAACACAACCAACAAAGTAAAGAGATGAAGCCTGTATATTGAGCCGCTTTTAAGAGAAGACGACAGAAAATCCTGCTGTTTCATTGAAGAGAGAGAGAGCAGAGCAGATGTACCAAACTCATGGGCTGTAGAAAGTGAGCACAATATCACCACAAATTAGACAAACTTAAACATCCGGACATAGACTGCTGGGTGACAAGGATGCATAGTACCAAACTACAGTTTCTTGAGCTTAGTGTATAGCATCTAATTATGGCACAACATGCTCAAAGCAGAGACATTGAAGATTGGAGTGAAACTGCTGAAGAAGGTTTTCAGCTGAACTGATACGGTCCTTAACAAGCAGCCATTAGCACCTTATACAAGCCAGCCACCAACACAGTTTGAACTTCGGACAAAATCACCTCACCTCTCTCCTCTCTACTTTCTCTCATTCTCTGTTCTGTATGTGATGGAGGTCTGAGGATTAGTCATCATGCCAGTGATGAAAGGGCTTCTGGCCCCTCAGAACACCTTTCTTGACACCATCGCCAAGCGCTTTGATGGCACACGTGAGTAATTCTGTTTTTCTCCAACCTCTGTCACAGCTTTCACCTTCAGAGACTCTGAAACTCATTCTAATGCAGCTTCTGACCTCATATATAAAATGTGAAAGGAGTTTCAAGTCTTACTATAGGATTTACTAATAGTTTGAATTAGCTTTTATTTCTCAGTTATCATTTTAATTTTAGTTGAAGTTTTAGTAATTTTGTTTTGTGCTTCTGTAATGTTTATAAAATGTTAGTTTTTTTTCATTTTGTTTCTTTAATTTATTTTATAATAATAATGATGTACTTTAGTACTTTAACTTATTTAATTCAGTTAGTTGGCAACATTACGGAAATTTTAAATCTGATATTTATATTTTATTTTACTTCACCTTATTTCAATTACTGAAAACATTTTTTATTCATTTTAGTTAATAACTATACTGTGTCAAGTTCTCAAGAAATAGTGAAGATATAAGTCTGCAAAGACTAAATTGTAGATAAGATTTTTTGCTCATGAAATATTTTTCAGGCAATATTTATACATTTCAAATATGCATATTTTAAATAATGAGATCATGTTACCTCAATTATAAAAAAAATAAAAATCCTCATGAGTAAAGATTAAAATCAGAATACTTGAATGGAAAATACAGAATGTCCTGCTCATTTTATTTGCTGTGGTATAAGGTCTTCCTCCTTCCTCCATTATGCTCTTTTTCATGTTTATTTCTTACAGTTTGTACCTCTATTTTGTGACAAATTAAGTGAACATTTTAGGCTAATAAAAGCATGTCATTATGCTTTGATTACAAAAAGTATGGCTATGTTGTAAGAAGTTCAGTATGAGCATTATAATGTTTACTTAATATATGTTAATTCAGCAGGCAGACTCGTGCTGAAATTTTGCCATCCTTGATGGCTGAATGTCTCATTTTAGTATCAGTAGGTGAGATGAGGGATGTGTTGTATCATCTTGAGAAATTGTACTTGGTAAGGTTTAGGAGTCGTGCTTTTTGCTGTATGCATAAATCTAGGCTGAACTGTTGTATTTGAGTGTCTGTGTGTGTACATTTGAGAACAGAAAAATCCCTGAAGTGTTATTCATTGCAAGAACGCCACTCAGTGTTCAGTAGTGTGGGAGTTAATGCACTACAATTCTGTGCAAACACGAGCGAACAAATGATGGATGGCAATAGATGATGGGATCATTTTGTTTGAGTGGTCTTCACTCCCTCTCTACCTGCCATCATGTCTGTCGAGGGAACTCAAAGCACACTAAAGCCATGAAGTTGGGCATGACTAAACCTTGAATGTGCGATAGCATGTGCTAATGTGTTGAATTGACCCTATCTGCTCTGAACTGACAGACACAATGGTGTTAGTCAGTGTGTTATAGTCTGATCCGTCAATACAGGATATAGTATATATCACTTTCATCAAGAGTTTATTCATCTCATCTAGTTATCTAGGTTACTCAAAGCTTTGTTCACTGCACCCAAATCTGATGCATGAAATCTTTAGGACTGACTATACTCTCAGAAAAAAAGTTGTCACTGGGGCAGTACCCTTTCAAAAGTTACACCTACCTTATTTACCCCTAAAAGGTACATATTAGTGCCTATAGCCCTGTTGAAAAAACCAGCATATGCTGGTTAGGTATGTTTTGAAGCATGGCAGCTGGTTTGAGCTGGTTTAAGCTGGAACTTAGTTGGTCATGAGCTGGTTTAAGCTGGTTATGAGCTGGTCCTGAGCAGGAGCTACATGCTTCGGACCAGCACATAACCAGCTTAAACCAGCTCATAACCAGCTTATAACCAGTTCATGACCAACTAAGTTCCAGCTTAAACCAGCTCAAACCAGCTGCCATGCTTCAAAACATACCTAACCAGCATATGCTGGGTTTTTTCAACAGGGAGTGTACATATTAGTACCTTTTGAAAGGGTACTGAGAGTGTGCGAAGGGATGAAATCGGATGCGTTTGTTCAGCGCATGTGAATTTGATCACCTACAGATTGAATTTTGGGATCCAAATATTGCAATAATGCAAATACAAATAATACAACAATGCAAAGAAAATCCCACTTAAAAACAATTTCACCATTCAAACAGAAAAGCATCAGATTTTAAACAACATGCAAATGTGGTTTGAATCGGTTTTGTAACATTGCGTTTTCATATAGTTAATTTTTTTTCTGTTTATACTACAAACAACTAAATGGATTCAAACTGGATTCACTTTGAAATGTTAAACTTGCTTCACCTGCATTCGGTGTTCATGATCTGTCACATGTGTGGTGAATTTGCGGTTCATTCAGCCCACCACATATACATTTCACTATTGGTGTGAATACACCATTAATCTGTGACTCGTTTTGCTTTTTCACATCAAGTTTTGGTCTGAAATGACCTTAACTAGACTTTTCACTCAAAGTGTGATGATCAAAGAGTTTCTGGGTACAATTTTACATTTCCTCATTTACGTCTAATAAGATCTTGCACCATCTTCACCCAGCCTGAATATCGGATACATTGAAGCATCTGGTGTCAGTCGCTTCCTGGTTAGACTGTAAGGAGTCTCTTAATGAGCTCTCAGGAGATTTCGCCAGTAGCCTTTCACCTTCTCAGCACTCCTGTGTGATGAGGCTATTAAAATAAGAAACATTACAAACCAATGACAGCATCCACTCAACAAGCAGAAATAGTGATAGCCATATTAACTAAAAATAAGCAAAAGGCTTTTGCTTTCTCTCATCCTCTCCTCCTTAGGCATTGCTTTTTGAGTAAGTGGAACGTAGGGGAAAATTTAACAAAAGCAATGCCCTTAACTCACTGTACAGCCAAACATTTAAATCATATGAATCATTCCCTCTGCCGTTCCTGGAGACATATTTTCACACAATGAAATGTCACGCTGACCATTTGCTCTCTCACTTTTCAGAACAACCTCCTGCTATCATGTCACACCCGTCCTATAAGCAACACTGGCTGTCTAAATTCAGTGTCAGTATGTACATGTGTGAGTGAGAGACGTGACGTTGAGAAATTGTATACCTCGGTATCTCCACCCCTCTCTCTCTCTCTCTCGCTCTCGCTCTCGTATTTTCCTTCTCCTTCATAATCACTTAAATCACTTTTATCTGGAGAGGATTATTAGAACAGAGAGGTGCTTGACAAAGAATTGATGTTGTGTTTTATAGCCTGTACTTCATTAAAACGGTTGTATTGATCATGCAGAACTGTCTACAATCTACATTATAAAAAAATCCAATTTGATGTTCTACAAAACTTTGAGCATGGTTTGAATCACACTAGTATGCATGAAGGCAAAACTGATATACATTACGATTTGTTTAACATTTTCAAAAATATACATTCATGTTGAAATGTTTTTGAAAGAAGTCTCTTATGCTCACCCAAGGCTGTATATTAAAATTATGCTTTAACATTTAATTTATTCCTGTAATGCAAGGCTGAATTTTCAGCATCATTACTCCAGTCTTCAGTGTCACATGATCCTTGAGAAATCATACTAATATGCTAATTTGCTGCTTCAGAAACATTTCTTATTATCAATGTTGGAAACAGTTGTGCTGCTTATTATTTTTGTGGACACTGATACTTTTTCAGGATTTTTTTGATGAATAGAAAGCTCAAAAGAACAGTATCTATTTGAAATGGAATCCTTTTATAGCATTATAAATGTCTTCACTGTCACTTTTGGTGCATTTATTGTGTCCTTTCTGAGTAAAAGTATATTTCTTTCCATAATAATAATAATTATAATAAAATAAATAAACAAAAAATTCTTACTGTCATGTCATGTTTTGGTGTAAGTTCAGTAGCATCCTGCATCCTGGCTAGCTATTAGCCTACCTCAGTTTTAGCATCTGTGTGAGTGTTTTGTTTGCAGTTATTAGCAGCTTTCTCTTGGCAATTAAAGCCTCGCTAACGTCATAATTCTAATTTTCTCATCCTGCTATTTGCCTGTTAATTGTGTACGGTACTGTTAGTCATTTTGGAAGAAAGAGCATAAGAGTGAAAATGTCACAGCAGGTATTTTGAAAAACCAATGTCTTTACTGTCACGAATCCGGTCCGTGGCCTTCCGGCCGATTAGCTGCCTTACCGAGCCATTCCGTGTTTTCTGTTTTAGTCTCGTGTATTGTTCTGCATTTTTCACTCCCCTAGTGTTAGCTGTCTTACCGAGCCTAGTGTCTTGTTTTTCCTTGTTTTCATCATCTTGCCTTGTCGGTTTCCCCGTTATCCCTCGTGTCTCGCCCAATTGGATACTGTTCGCCCCTCATGCAATGGCCCCCGCACTAGATTACGCTCACAAAATGGCGGACACAACAGCGCCCCGTTATGTGAAAGTTGATCTTCATGAACCAAGTCAAATCACAGTTAATCATTGTGAGTCAAGTCACAGCTGATCTTCCGGAGTCCAGTCAAGTCACAGTTGATCATGAGGCAAGTCAGATCACAGTTGATTACCCTGAGTCAAGTCAACTCACAGCAGATCTTCATGAACCAAGTCAAGTCACAGCTGATCTTCATGAACCAAGTCAAGTCACAGTTGTTGTTCATGGGTCAAGTCAAGTCACCGCTGATCTTCCTGAGTACAGTCAAGTCACATTTTATTGTCATAAGTCAAGTCAAGTCACAGCTGATCTTCATGACCCAAGTCAAGTCACAGCTGATCTTCATGAGTCAAGTCAAGTCACAGTTGTTATTCATGAGTCCAGTCAAGTCATAGCTGATCATCCAGAGTCACGTCACAGCTGATCATCCTGAGTCACGTCACGTCACGTCACAGCTGATCATCCTGAGTCACGTCACGTCACAGCTGATCATCCTGAGTCTCGTCAGGACACAGCTGATCGTCAGGAGTCTTGTCATGTCCTGTCTGTTGCACCCAGATCGTCAAGGTCAGT